AAACATCCTCCTGTCTCCCCCGTCCATATAGATAGTTCTTTTGGCATTATTGGTTAAAAAGGCCACCCTTTCTCTGATGAACAACCTAAGTAATTTTCTTAGCAGTCAATTGAACATATATAGGTAGACTTATTTCTGGACTCACTGTTCATTTCTGTTGATCTGCATCTATCGTTATGCCAGTGCTGTTACTGCTTACTTACTACTTTAGCTGCATCACAGATCTCAAATAGTCAAGTCCTCCAATTTTGTTTATTATTTTCAAAATATTGGGTTATCAGAAAAGTCATGATGCATTTTTGCAGAAAAAAACATAGAAAAAATACGTCTTGACTTTTCCGACAATTCAATAATTTTGACTATTATAGGTTTTTTACTTCCATATCTGTATTTCAGAATCAAGTTGTAAATGTCTACAAATAAAGTATACTGAGATTTTGATGGAGATTGCATTGAATCTATAGACTAGTTTGAAGAGAACTGACACTATAACAACACTACATCATCTCACCTATGGATGTGGTCTTTTCTTCCATTTATTTAGGTCTTTAATTTGCCACAACAGTTTGGTAATGTGTTGTGGGTTTTAGTGCACACTGTTACCCATGTTTTATAAACTTAACCCTCTGTTTCATGTTCTGGAATGCTATTTAAAATGGTACTTAAATTTTTTTTTTTATCTAATACCAATTTATTATTAATATTTAGAAATACAGTTGACTTTCTATTAACCTTGTATCCTGTGACCTTGCTTAATTCATTTATTAGTTCTATTAAGCCTTATTTGTAGATTTCTTAATTTTACATATATGAGTATGTCATATATGAATAAAGACTTTTTACCCCTTGCTTTCGGTCTGTGTGCCTCATGTTGCTTTTTTCTGGCTGAATGCACTGATACTCTGAGTGCCTGCAGCTAGCATTTTGTTTGTATGCTATCTCTTGGAATCCAGAGATGCCTCCTCCTTAATTGCTCCTGAAATATTTTACCTCAGGGAACCATTTTACATTTATCACTTGATAACATTTAAAACACAAAAACTACATAGCTATTACATGTTACTCACTGTAAATGTTTCACTCACCTTTTTAAAGGTGAGTGAAGATAAAGATGATTTCATGCAACTTAAATGCTTAAAAAGTCCAAATAGCTTTGAAAGCTGATTAGTGTCTGAGATATAAGTTGCCCTGTTTGCTCCTCAGAGTGCTGTAAGTGAAGCATGTTTTCAGGATTAGGTAGCTTCACCTAGCTGGTGAACTGGGAGGAGAAGCTCTTGTGTTTCTGGTCTGCATTTGCTGTCTCCCGGTGCCCATCTCTGCTGCTATGTGTGCCCATCTCTTTTCATGTGTATTTCAGTTCTGTCTGTGTTGGTAGGAGTTTACCAAGTATTCTCAATAGTCAGTACTCAGAATAGGGAACTTCAGGGCTTCCTTGGTCTTGCCTACTCATTGCTTTTCTAATAGATAGGGCTATTTACTCTGAGGTTGTATCCGAAACCTTTATATCTGAGAATTGTGTCCTTGAATTAGAATAACAAAATGCTTAAGTAGATTTAAAAGAAATAAATGTGTGTAATCTAGAATATGGCAGGTCACCTGTTCAGCTGTCTAAGGGAAGACTACAGCTTTATAAATGATGGTGATTTGCTATGTGACAGTGTTTCTCAGATTTCCTTTTTTAATAACCTTTTATTTTATCCCCTTTATTTTCCTGCACTAAATTGATAGATTTATGAATTTTTAACATATCTGTTAATTTTTAAAAAACTATTTAAAAAAATTTTTTTTAATTAATTTTTTAAAAAACAATAGTTCCTTATCAGTCATATACAGGTAAAATTAAAGAAAATAATAATTAACAAAGTAAGTACTTTAGTATGAAAGTCCTTAAAGTCTCCCTATGTTTGAATGGGAAAACCACCCCTGTACAAAATGACCCTTAGGGAAAAAACAACTGTTTCTGTTTAAACCTTGCTCTAAGACAGTGTTTCTCCAGCTGTGTGGTGAGTGATGATTATCTTTTTATCTCCTTAAGATAATAAAAATGAATTACTAGAAGTATGCAATAGAAGACACACTGCTGTTTTACATGTAGACTCAAAGGTATAAAGTTGATCTCTTCTGTTGTTGCAGAACTTCCTAGTGCTCACCCACTTTGCCTTCGTGCATCCTCGATAAATGCTCTATCCTCATACACTGGCTCCCAGACAAGCTCCTCCTCTTGGCCACAGGGGGGTGCACTGTTCCAGGAGATCCCCAAGTGGCCCCTGCTCTTGTCTGGTCCTTAGACTGTCCCTGTGGATTTATGATTTACTTTCTTTTTTATAAAAGAATTATTTAATTTTATTTATTATCATTATTATAATTTTTTTTAATTTGACCAGAGAGAAAAAAAGAAAGAGGGAAAATGAGAAAGCAAGCCACCAGGTCTGGGACTTGAACCACAATTGGCCATGTGGGAGCCCAGCACCTCAACCAACACACCACCTACCAACCCCTGATTTATTTTCAATATGACTCACCTTTGGGTGGGCTCTTAGAGTCCTGTCCATACTGAGTCATTTGTGATGCATGTTGTGGTCTCTTGTGACATGTTGGTCACTTCCCGACTTATTCCTTTCTGAGTAGTGTACTTGGGACATTGGCCTGGATTTGGGACATTCATTTGCCATTGTCATCTGGTCTAGAGTTTAGGTGGCATGTGTTGCAAACTGAGGCTAGATTTAGGTTGCCATTGAACTTTATGTCTGCTGCAAAACCTGCCTTGGGTTTGTTGGAGGCTCTTTACCCTATGGCTATATGCAAGTCTTCATAAAGTTCATAGAAAACACATACTGTGAAAAACTGTGTGTGAATTTCAATTTTCCTACACCAAAATAAACTCATGCTTTCAATATATTTTTCCACAAGCTTTTTGAATTACTCTTGTATTGCAAAATGCAAAAATCACAGCTTGAATATAAGTCACATTGGGATTGGTAGGATGGGTAACTGAGGAGAGGGAGGGTTTAAGTTTTGTATTGTCCTGTTTTAGTTTTTTAAAAATTCATGATAGCCATGTGGACTCACGAGAGAAAGAAGCACCCTTAACAGAGTCTCATACCATAGTCCCTTTTCCCTCGTCCTCCAGTGTATCAGGATCTTGGACACTCATGTGTGTATGGCATATTTTCAGGCCAATCCAGGGATCTGAACTGTGGTGGGTCATTTGACTTCCAGTACTGCAGTTCAGTTTGCTACTGACTACACACTACTAGACTGAGTCTGTTAGTTTTTCAATTGGCATATAATTTACAACACTGTAAAATGTACTCTTCTGTACCAACTGTAGTCAGGTAACCACCACCGCCACATCAGGGTAGAGAATATTACTGTCTCTGCATAATTCCGTCATCTCCCCTCTGTCCCCAATAACCACTGATCCATGCTTTGTCATTCTGTTTAGCTCATAGCAGAGTGCCATAGAAATAGAATCATTCACTATGTAGCCTTTTTTGGGGGGGAGGCTTTTGTGTGTGTGTGTGTGCTATAGGGCACATGCGCTCACCAGAAAGAGAGAGACAGAAAGTGAGAAATCACCCCCCTAGGGGGAATTGCTGCACCGCAATCCCTTCTCCTCTATTCTCTCAGGATCTTGGGCACGCACGCACATGCGCCCTGTGTGAGCTTAAGTCACCAGACCCAGGACTTGAACCTCGGTTGATTACATGGGAGTTCAGCGATATAACCATTACACTAACTCCTGGTCCTAGTATGTAGCCTTTTGAATATGACTTTCTCTAAGCACAGTATATTCAGTTCATTCATGTGTTTGAACCTATCAGTGGTTTGTTCTTTTGATAACTGAGCAATATTCCATTATATGGACACATCACAGTTGGCTTATCCATTCATCAGTTTGAAAACATGTAGTTTAAAGAATGTCTGAATCTGTAGAATTTTATTAATATTATTAATATTAATTCTTTTAAAGCCTGAAGGATTACAGGAAAAGTTGACATATTACAGAATATTCCTGCCTTGATGTGACCTCTGTTTGTACAAGATGGCACAGACTCTTTGCTGCCACAGGAAGGACTTGGTCTTAGGTCAGACTTTGAAGTCAGAGGGGCAGTTTGAGTGTATGACAATGCTTATGTTTTAAGTGTTTCGGCTGGAATCAAGAATCTCAATATTTATAAATCTCAAGTATTTATAAAAAGGAGCCGGGGAGCCAGCTGGTGGTGTGGTGGTGAAGGTGGCTGATTCCCACATGGCCAACAACACAGTCCAAGTCCTAGACTCAGCAGGTTGAAAAATACTCTGAGAGCATGTGCATGTGCACAAGCACACCGGCGTGCACCCAAAATCCCAAAAGGAAGGAGAAATGGGAGAGCATGGATTGTGGCGTGAAATGCCCGTGGGAAAAGGGGCAGTGCTTTCTCACTTTCTCTCTTCAACAAGTGTATGCACTCTCGGGGGGAAAAATATATAAATGAAGTGAGAAGTAAGTATGATGTGAAGTAGCTTTCACTGGTAGGGAAGAAATGTTTTTAAAAAGGGTTTTCTTCATATATATTGTGGACACATGTAGAGCAGTAATGTTTCACTGGGAAATAAATAGTAAAGTATGAAAGCATGAAGGTTTTCTTTCAGTTGATAACTACCATAGCAGGCGGGAGTTCGAAAGAAATTGTCATATTATCAAACATAGCCAGCGTGAGTTTTGAAATAAAAGTGCTGATTAAACATGCAGCTTTAATGGTGGATTTTGCCCTTTGGTCAAGCATTTTGATTGTCTGACCATTATGTCCTGTTTTCTTTATTTTTATTTTCATGTATGTTTTATTATAATCAGGAAACGATTACTGAGTGTGTATTAACGTACGTCATTTGGATTTGGCAATATTTAAAATAACTTGTGTCCATTTTAAAACTAGAGTTAAATATAATCATCTTCAGTATTTGCAAAGCTCACTGCCATACCAGACACATTGTGAATGCATCCGTGCTTCTTCTAGAAGACACAGTCTGTCCAGCACGAAGTTGCTTAGTCCCCAGATGTCTGGAGAGGAGGAAGACTCTGACTTGGCAGCCAAACTTGGAATGTGCAATAGAGAAATAGTGCGAAGAGGGGCTCTCATTCTCTTCTGTGATTATGTTGTAAGTTTGAAGTTGTTTATAAAGGGGAGTGGGGAGGAGACAGAGGACTGGAAAATACCCTATATAGATGTTTTTGTGGACCCTCCAGAAACCCAGACTTCCCACCACCTGCCTCATCAAAACTAAAAAACTGAAAATAATGTTTAATTCTGATCCAGCGTAATTAAAAACCAGACCCTCCTTCTACTGGATTTCTAAGACGGCCTGCAAAAGGTTTCATTTAGCACCACCGACTGAGTAAATACTGAGTGACTGCTCTTGCCACACACATCATGCTGGGTATTTTTGTTAATTTGAGGAAAGCAATAGAGTAATAAAAAAATAGTCATTTCAAAAATAAGTTGGTAGAGTTTTTAAACCATAAAACTAGCATCACATGTTTATCATAGAGAATTTATAAAAACCACATCCACAAAAGAAAAGAAGCTCTCTTGTAATCATGTTACTGAAAGATAGCTTGCTCTTACAGTTTGGTCTAATATAATACTTTTCCGTACCTACAGAAAACCATACACATTTCTTTGTTACAAACAGGATATCTTCTATATACTGCTGGCACATATTATAGCAAGTGTTAAAAATTCTGACTCAGAAAAGGAAGCAGACTTTTTCAGCTGGAGTAGATATTACACAGGCTTTTTTTATCGTGTAACAATTAATATTCTCTTTGCTTTACATTCTTGATGTTGAAGTAGTTTTTCTATCTTGTTCTACTTTTAAGAAATAATTATATAGTGCTGTTTTTCTAATAAATGCAGGAAAAAAGGTATTTTATAAATTAATACTGTCAAATGATCCCAGATGAAAAATGTTAATCATTAACTACATGTCAAGGAATCGATCACATTTTATAGTTTGTTTCCAGAAGAATTTGTGAATTAAGATTAAAAGGCCACATATGTTCAAAATGGATATTTCTTATTTTCTTATAAATTTTACGTGAAATGTCTTCACCTAAGATTCATTTAATACGTGGGATCCATTCATATTTTGGTTTAAGGAAATCTGTGAAAACTGTGCAGTTACAGTGAGTCTTTTTTTCTATTGAACCTTATGAAACTGGAGAAAGAGTGACTGGAAAGTGCTCAGTCACTGAATTTATTGTTGGCCTGAAGCCTAGGAGTGAACAGAAAATGACAGGGACAGAGAATATTCCCTGCTCCCGTGTGTTAAGGTGCGCTAGTCCAGTCACTCATGCAGGTCATGTGACTTCTCACACTGCCCCTTCCTTCCTATGGATCCTGCAAGAGCCCATAGGCAGCTGCTCCTTAACTTCCTCATGGAAAGAAGCATAGGGTCCTTTCATCTTTGGACCTTTGGCCATTCGCTATACCTCTAGAAAGTGAGCTGCTGTACTCTACCTTCCCATTGAGGCCTGACTTCACAGGTCTCCACTTCATGCATGGTCCAAGGTGACGGGTTCTTGGAATTGATGATCCTGCCTCCTTAGTTACTTGTGTTCAAGCACTATGTATTTTCAGTAAGGCTTATGTTTGGAATTGATTTTTCCTTTCCTCCCACTTCTGGCCTTTCCGCTGACATTAGCAGCTATTCTCTTCTTGGCTACTTGAAAATGAGTCTTCTGTTATATTTTTCCCAGTGTCAGAACCTCCACGACTCTGAGCATTTGACGTGGCTCATTGTGAATCATGTTCAGGATCTGATCAGTCTGTCCCATGAGCCTCCAGTGCAGGACTTCATCAGTGCTGTCCACCGAAATTCCGCTGCTAGTGGCCTTTTCATCCAGGCAATTCAGTCTCGCTGTGAAAATCTTTCAACCGTAAGTCTTCATACTGCCAACATTGACATCCTCAGTTTTCTTTGCCTTAAAACTGGGATATTGGAATATTTTAACTGATGGTTTCTAGTTAACAGAGTCATCAGTCTGCTCCTTTTCTTTTCTCAAACATCAGCCCACCACTCTGAAGAAAACACTCCAGTGCCTGGAAGGGATTCATCTCAGCCAGTCAGGTGCTGTGCTCACCCTGTATGTGGACAGGCTTTTGTGCACCCCTTTCCGTGTGCTGGCTCGCATGGTTGATACCCTCGCCTGTCGCCGAGTAGAAATGCTTTTGGCTGCAAATTTACAGGTACTTAACAACAAAAAAACAGTGAAACAGTTTCATAATGATTTTTATTAAAAACTTAGAAAGGCAAACAAAACAATTGGCCATGTTTTTTCTCCACAGGCATGGTCTTCATATGGCCACTGATAGATGCATACATAATATAGAAATATGTGTAACATGTACAAACTTGCCATTCCTTTTACATCTTATTCAGTCGTTTCTTGTCATTTTTCTTGTTTGTTCTTGTTACCATAAAGCTATAGATGTCAGTTTATCCTTTTCTTTTCTTTTTCTTTTTTTTTTAAAGTTTTTGCTATATGGCACATGCACTCACCAGAGGGGGGGTGCTAAAGAGAGAGAAGTCACCCTCTAGGGAGAATTAGCCACACCACAGTCCCTTCTCCTACAGTCTGCTCTTGGGATTTTGGGCATGCATGCTTACACTCCAGGAGTGATTCTCAAGCCACTGGGTCTGAGACTTATCGGGTCCGAGACTCAAACCTTGCAGCTGATCATGTGGGATCCAGTACTTTAACCTTCATGCCACCTGCTGGCCCCTCAGTTTATGCTTTTCAAATGATTGCACAGTTATTTTGGTTTATCATGTATTACAAACCCACTAACGTGTTCTTGTCTACTTTAGAGCAGCTTGGCCCAGTTGCCAGTGGAAGAACTGAACAGAATCCAGGAGTACCTGCAGAGCAGCGGGCTTGCTCAGAGGTAAGGCTGGACACACAGACAGTCCTTGCATTTGGATAGCCCTGCGTCCAAAGACTGAGATTTGTAGAGAATACATTTACCAGATGAGAAATTGCTGTATTTTAGAATTGAGTTTATTACAGAAGTGATGTAAGAACACCTTCGTGAATTTAAAACAATTGGGTCTCACTTTATAAAAAAGTAAAGAACAGTGACAGTATCACATCAGTGAAGTATCACATCAGTGACAGTGTTACATCTAGGTATGCTTACACTCCTGTTGGATATTTGAGAGGTAGAAGGTATTTATAGTGCTTCTCTTCATTGTCTTGTGATGAATGGGAATATGTATTATCAGCTTTATCTTAACAAGAACAAACCATATTATAATTGCTAAATAAGAGTTGGCTAGTCTGAAAGAGATTATTTAATTCTTGACATATAAGAATTATATCTGCATCTTGTTAAATTTTTTTTCTTCATAGCCATTTCATTACCTAATTTTGTTTATTAAGTCTTCTGTAAGTCTTGATCAGAAATCCTTACATCTATTATGTGAGTATATTTATGAAATGAATAAAAATAAATAAAAAGTACAAAATAAAGAGAAGCTTTTACCTCTTATTCTCTATGGGGCAAAAATGTATGTGTGCTTATCTGTGCATGTGTGTGTGTGTGAGTGTGAGAGAGAATATAATTCTTATGCTGTGATTTCAGAGTATCCGTTGATGGTGTCTTTAGATGAGATGGGACACAATGTCGTGGGCAGTCCACGGTTCAGAACAATTTTTCAGTTTGTGGGACCAACGTGCATTATGAAGCTGTCATTCTCATAGCAAATGGTGGAAGATCAGACTTTTCTTTTTTTTCTTTCTTTTTTGACCCTAGACTTAGTCTTCAGTCCAGATGAAAAAGGTTATAAATATCTTGTGCCAAATGAGGTGCTTTTATGAAATGTTCATAAATTGATGTAAATTATATCTTACTGGGAGATTAAATAGAGTTCATTCACTTGGACCTTAGAATAAATGATCTATTCAAGCATGCTATTAACTATTTATACTGTGTTGCCTGTTGCAGTGTTTGAATATAAATGAAATTTTTGGGGAACCAGCAGTTAGCGTAATGGCTACGTCACTGGACTCCCACATAGTTGACCACGGTTCGCGTCCCGGACCCGGTGGCTTAAAACTCATGCCAGGCGCGTGTGCTTGCGTGCCCAAGATCCTGAGAGGAGAATGGAGGAGAAGGGATTGTGGTGTGACCATACCCCCTGGGGGGTGATTTCTCGCTTTCTGTCTCTATGTCTCTCTCTGTCTCTCTGGCGAGTGCATGCACCGTATAGTGAAATTTCTGAAAAACATTATTAGAGTGTAAACTGTGGTAGATAGGCCTGAATTTGCATCATGACCTGTTTGAGTGTTGAAGAGAAAGGTTTTGTTTTGTTTTTTGTTTGATTTTGAGATTTTTCCTATAGGGCGTGTTCACTTACCAGAGGGGCAGAGAGAGACAGAGAGACAGAAAGTGAGAAATCACTCCCTAGGGAAGATGGCCACACTGCAAGCCCTTCTTCTTCATTCTCCTCTCAGGATTTTGAACATGCACATACACACACCTGGAGTGAGTCTCAAGCCTCCAGGTCTGAGACTCAAACCACAGTTGACCATGTGGGAGTCCAGCAATGTAACTGTTATGCCATCTGCTGGTGCCAGAAGAGAAAATTTTAAACAAGCTGCATCGTGCTTTAAGGGGCCACTAATAGTCCTGCCTTATACTGTATATTTCTTATAACTCTGGTTTGCAAAGTTGAGAATAAATTATACTATAATTTCATTTGTGTTTGTATTTCAGACACCAAAGGCTCTATTCCTTGCTGGACAGGTTTCGTCTATCCCTTGTACAAGACTCAGCTAGCCCCTCTCCTCCAATCACTTCCCACCCGCTGGACGGGGATGGGCACATGTCACTGGAAACAGTGAGTCCAGACAGAGTGTCTTTCCTGTGTGTATGAGAGAGAGAGAGAGAGACAGAGACAGAGAGAGAAAGACAGGATGCCCACAGTGGCTCTGTTCATCTGTGGCAGCCCAAAGTATCTGCCTGGGGGGTGGGGGGGGAGTCTCTGGACACAGGATGTCCTGGCGCTCAACCCAGGTTGTTAGCTATTCCAGTTGGAGCACAGGGTAGAGATACTGGGGGGAAGGGGAAGGTGGGAAAGGTCCTAGTGAGAGTGGCAATACTAGCTTAGGACTCAAGGTGAAATGTGGGGAGTCACATAAGTAATGAGTGAATCAGGAACAGGTCAGCTATGACCTGCAGGCTCATGACTGCATAGGCTTTCAAGCATGTGTCAATACAGTTGCCCCGCTTCCCTCTCTTAACATCTGACCCTCTCTGAGGATGCACTCTCACTGCCAACACCCCTGGTGTGTGGTCCTTACCCTCAGACACCCCGATAGGCATTGTAGGTGCAGTATTAAAAGAGGGAAGGGCAGAGGGCTGAGGGGACAACGAGGAGGATCTGCCAGCCCACAGCACTTTAGCTGACGTGGCAGTTCACCAAGTGAAGGCAGAGAAGAAAAAGGCACCCATGCAGGTCCAGGAAGTCCAAAGGAAAAGTTACTTTGTTTTGGTGAACTGTAGGTTCAGAGTGTTCCACACAGCCAGCCTGAGGCCCAGTGTTAGCCAGACTTCTGCAGAGTCTAGGGCAGGTGCAGCCCCTGGAAGGCCTGCCCAATCTTGTCTCCCTTATCCTCCTCCTCCTTCTTCCTAGGACTGGTATATCCGTCTTGTCAAATCCCAGTGTTGGACCAGGTCAGATTCTGCACTGCTGGAAGGTGCAGAGCTAGTGAATCGGATCCCTGCGGAAGATATGAGTGCCTTCATGATGAATTCGGTAAGGGGATCCCTAGCTCTCACTTGTCCCTTCCAAGCGGGATTTATTCTATCATCATGTAGTCCACTATTGACAGTGTGACAACACAAGGTAGGAGGACCCTGATCCAAATGGGGATGGGGTATAGGGAGGACTCTAATCCAGTTAGCAGTGGGATCTAGGATCAACTCTAATCTAGGCAGAGAATGGGACTGTAATTCAGAAGAAAGCACATTATATCAACCACATTACAACCCAAAAAAGAGGCAAATTTTTTTGATTTGACCTTTTATGCATTTACGTGGGTGGTCTTAGATTACAGTCAGTTTTGAGGTTTTTTTGAGAGGTGTTTTTTGTTGTTGTTGTTTTTTTGTTTGTTTGTTTGTTTGTTTTTGCTATAGGATGTATGCACTTGCCAAAAAGACAGCGATAGAGAGACAGGAAGTGAGAAATCAACCCCCGGGGGGATGGCCACACCACAATCCCTTCTCCATTCTCCTCTCGGGATCTTGGGCACACACGCACACGCGCCCGGCATGAGTTTAAGCCACCGGGTCCAGGACTTGAACCGCAATCGACTACATGGGAGTCCAATGACATAGCTATTAAGCTAACTACTGATTCCGATTACATTCAGCTCTTAATTGTTTGTTCTCATAGTAACTAGAGAAAGGTATTGGATTGGTATCATAATACATGATTTAAAAAACTTGTTCATGGTGTTCCAAAAATTGATCTTGCATGGTAAAGTAGGCTGCTCAATGTAGCGAGATTTATCTCCTATTCTTCCCCAGATTCTAAAGGGCATACTGTGCAGAGTTGGCCCAAGAAGCCTTGCAAAATGTTGGTGTCCCTGTTCTCCATTCTTTAGGCAGGTCCTGTGAGACAGGCCTCTCTTAAGTATCGTTCAGCCACAGCCTCAACGTGGTTCCTTCTCAGACCTGCTTGGTCAGGAAGCTGAGACCCTTTTGGTGTTACATATTGCCCTGCCTTGATGTATATCACATGAGAATGAAGAAGCAGGGACCTAGAAAGGTGAATTCATGGGAGGTGGAAGGCAGCTAAGCAAGTGGTTCACAGAAGGAGGCAGGTCTTCCTGAAGACAAGTGCAAAGGTCAAGACCATACAACAGTATGCTCTGAAGTACTGATTGTTGGTTATGTAATTTGAAAATAAAAGCTACACTTGAAAAAGAAAAGAATTGGCTCAAAATCAGTTGTTAGAATTCAGTTTATCACTTTTAAATTAATTACTTATTTCATGTATTGTTATTTTTTAAAGTTTGCTATAGAGTACATGTATTCACCAGAGAGAGAGAAGAGACAGAACAAAAGTGAGAAAGCAAGTCACCACATCCAGAACTTGAACCATGTTTAGCCATATGGGAGTCTAACGCCTTAATCACCATGCCACCTGCTGGCCCCTTAAGACCCATATAATGAAAATATAATGAAAGCTATCTTGCTGAATGATAAATTTGCTTAGTGACCAATTTATTATATTTTTCCAGGTCTGCTAATTGGGCTTTTTTTCTTTTTTAAGGTGTGTGTTTTTGTTTGTTTGTTTGTTTGTGGTTTTTTTTTGCCATAAGGCATGCGTGCTCGCCAAAGAGAGAGAAAGTGAAAAATCATCCACCCCAGAGGGAATGGACACACAATCCCTTGTCCTCCATTATCTTCTCGGGATTTTTTCTTTTTCTTTTTTTTTTTTGGAGAGGTTTTTTGCTATAGGGTGTGTGCGCTCGCCAGACAGACAGAGAGAGACATAGAGACAGAAAGTGAGAAATCATCCCCCGGGGGGATGGTCATGCCGCAATCCCTTCTCCTCTCGGGATCTTGGGCACGCACGCACACGCGCCCGGCGTCAGTTCTAAACCACCCATTCCAGGTCGCGAACCACGGTTGACTACGTGGGAGTCCAGCAACATAGCCCTGGGAAGGGACTTGGATAATGGAATGACTGAGTGCTGGTGTTCTGAAGACGCAGCAGCACAGACGGCCAGACCTCCAGGGACAGCCCTGCAGGGAGACCGGGCCCTGCCCTCAGCCCCGCGGGGGAGCAGGTTTGTGCAGGCAGGTCTCTGACATGAGACCCACACCCTCGCCGTGGCTGGGTGCATGTTTGTTTTTTGTTTGTTTGTTTGTGTTTTTTTTTTTGCCATAAGGCATGCGTGCTCCCCAAAGAGAGGGAAAGTGAAAAATCATCCACCCCAGAGGGAATGGACACACAATCCCTTGTCCTCCATTATCTTCTCGGGATTTTTTCTTTTTCTTTTTTTTTTTTTGGAGAGGTTTTTCGCTATAGGGTGTGTGCGCTCGCCAGACAGACAGAGAGAGACATAGAGACAGAAAGTGAGAAATCATCCCCCGGGGGGATGGTCATGTCGCAATCCCTTCTCCTCTCGGGATCTTGGGCACGCACGCACACGCGCCCGGCGTCAGTTCTAAACCACCCATTCCAGGTCGCGAACCACGGTTGACTACGTGGGAGTCCAGCAACATAGCCATTACACTAACTGCTGGTTCCCATCTTCTCGGGATTTTGAGCATGCATACACACGCATCCAGTGTGATTCTAGGACTTGAGCCACAGTTGACCATGTGGGAGTCCAGCACCTTAACCACCATAACCATCTGCTGGCCCCTGCAAATTGGACTTTTAACAGCTCTAAAGGTTCAGTAGGTTCAGTTTTGGGCACAGATGATGAAATGTACTTCTCTGAGTCTTAAACTAAGATTGATATTCTACCTAAAGAATTGGCCCTCAAAATCCTTAAATGACTTAAAGAAAAAGATAGCAAAATACAGCATACAAATTGTCATATGAAATGCTATTTTTCCAACGAAAATGTTGGTATTTATGTAGCTATTTTGCCTTATAACAGCTGCTTTGGAACATCTTTTTCAGACTTTAGGAATGTTTGGTGTTTCACTGATTTCTCGGGTGGCATGTTAACTTTGATTTAACCATTAAAATTTTGTCATACTAAAAATTTTATTGCAAACAAATCCAAGAATATTAAAAAACTAAAGAGTAAAGTACCCAGGGCCAGTAGGTAGCATGGTAGTTAAGGTACTGGATTCCCACATAGCTAACTACAGTTCAAGTCCCAGATCCAGTGGCTTTTAAAAAAATCACACTGAGTGTGTGTGCATGTGTGCCCAAAATCCCTGGAGAAGGGATTGCAGCAAGGCCATCCCTGAGGGTGATTTTTCACTTACCTCTCTCTGTGGAGAAAATCTTAAAAATGAAAAAAGAAAGTACCCAAAAGAGACCAAAAATATATTTTTACTGAGTATATGTTAAGTGGAATTGTTCATATATTTGTAACGGACGGAATGTTTTTTATTTTCTCCAACTTTATTTATAATTTCTTTCTTACATTTCATTGTTGGTATGTATGGTATACAATATAGTTTATCAAAGCATATATGCAGTGTGTGATAATCAAACCAAGGATATTGCCATATCTGTCAATTTTTAACAAAGATCTTTATATTCTTATGGCTGTTAAATTCTTTAAAATATTTTTTATGGTCTACCAGTCTGTGTTATCTTAGAAGCATTTGCATTATCTTTTCTTCCATTGTGTTTTCTTGCCTGATTGAAAGCTTAGAATTTTTGTTATTTTTTATTTAACCTGTAATGTTCTGATTTTAGGAGTTCAACCTAAGCCTATTAGGTCCATGCTTAAGCCTAGGCGTGAGTGAGATTTCTAGTGGCCAAAGGAGTCCCCTTTTTGAAGCAGCTCGCAGGGTGACTTTCGACCGTGTGTCCAGCATTGTTCAGCAGCTTCCTTCTGTCCATCAAGTCTTCCAGCCCTTTCTACCTGTGGAATCCACAGCTTACTGGAGCAAGTTGAACGATCTGTTCGGTAATTATAAGAAATTTTTCCATATGTATTTTTAAAAAGCTTAGTAGGGCCAGTATAGTACTTTGCACCAAGCAAATATATAATGAACATTGTTGATCCATACATTGAAAACAATTGTAAAGGTGACTGAGAAACAGCACTGGTGTTCTTGGCTCTGAATTTCTTTTTGTGTGTTTGACACTTTGCTGTACACTGACATGGTCAGGGTTCTAAACCCTACAGCGAGGCTTAGATAAAATCCAGGGGAAATGTGGATGTACATCCTCCTGAGGAATGATGTCGTGAACTTGCTTGACAGCCTTTCAAAGAGGTAGAGGGCCTGTGGTCACAGTCACACCTACCCATGAAGGTCTTCTGTTTCAGGGGATCCCACATTGTATCAGTCCCTGACAACTTTGGCCAGAGCCCTGGCACAGTATTTGGTGGTGGTCTCCAAACTGCCCTGCTATTTGCATCTTCC